ATATATTTGCACCAGCTCAATTCACAAATTCTTCACAGCTCTAACATACTTTGACTAGTACTATGTGGTGTTTAACGTGTACTGCAACATACACAGACAAACAGCTAGACATGGCATATTTCTTTTTGCGAGGCTCTACATCGTTTTCCGATGCCTGCGCCCTTCTAAATATTAATCTCCATTTATCAAGATGAAGTGACCTAATTTTGGATAAAAAAAGACCCCTTGCATAATGGATGAACGCTTCATCTAGCACTTGTAGGATCTCTTCCTAAGCAAACTTGGAGGGAGCCACATGGTGGCATTAAACTGAACCATGGAAACATTAGCACAAAAAACAGAATTGTTGCTGACTTTAAGGAACGCTGGGTGCGCAGTATTCTTTCTGGCATGAAAAGTTATCTGAAGAGGCAGAAAGAGGCATGAGGTCGCCTTTTTAATACGTATGTTAGTGCTGCTAAAGGTGCCAAAAGAGACTTCACAATAAATAAAAAATAAAATAAAAAAGGATTTTAATTCCGTTTTCAGAATCATTTTTCCATCTAATTTTAAAAAAACGTATAGGTTTGGTTGAAAACATTTGACTTTTAATTTAGAAAACAACAAATCTGTCAGCTAGATTATAAAAACCTAAGCAGTCAAATATTTCAACTATATCTTTAAAAAGCTAACACTGGAAAAGCTGAACTGTACTGGAGCCAAGAGTTCAGCTAAAGACTTAAAGATGGAAAAAAAATTGTTTGGTTAACTTCATGAAGCATCTCAGAGAGGGAAAGTCTGATGAAATCTAATAGTTACATTAAATATGCTTCAGAAAAACAGACAGCAACATTTAAACTTATTCAGGAGATTTATGCAAAGTGAAGTTAGAGAATTTTAAAGGTCATCTGATTTTTAAAGCTACTGAAGTACAAAATAAATTAGCAGAGGAAGCTCATGTTGAGCCAAAGAATGGAAACTAGACGGAAAAACGACAGGAAAATTGTGGCAACAAATGAAAAATTTTGACACTGGATAGAATATTTTCTTACAGACAAAAGAAGATAAAATATGTAGAATGAGTCAATTTTAAGAAGAATATTTTTCAGTAGGGTTATGTGATGTATTGATATATGTATATATGTATATGTTTCTTACCCATACTAGATAGTAGTATGTATTTTCAGGAATGATACGTCATAGGTTAGCTAAACAAAAAACTACAGTACTTTGGATAAATCAAATGGACCAGAATGATACCATTTCAAGTAGAGGTGCACAATGTATCAAAAATGAATGTCATTCTAAATATTATTGTGAGAAACATCAATATCATAAAAGGACTGTTTGGACCACAATAAATTACAGATTAATATATAAGTGCCAGATATTCTCAGGGTTCCAGAGGGTAAAAATCAGCTTATTTATAATGTTTTGTGTACTGAATTTATATTGAAATGTACTGAATTTATATTGAAATGTACTGAATTTATATTGAAA